GATGCCTAAAAACAAAAGCTCTGATTCCTTTGCATTCACTTATTCACATCCAACCCTTTTCCTAACCCTCATCTTAAGCATTAAGGTGCTTGGCCCTTATCGCAAGCACTTAAGGTGCTTGGCCCATGGGGCAGGGTAGGAACCATGAGGTTGCTCTGCAGTTACATGGCATACAAAGCTGAACGTGAGGGGCCATGGATCTGATCAGCCTGTGGGCCACAAAGAGGAGGTGGATGGGAATGCTCTGAAGAGCTCAGCTCTGCCTCAGGATCTCCTGCCCCAGCAGCAGGAACATAAATTTGGCAGTGACTGTGAGGCCACTTTTGTCTCTGCACTTGATAGGGCAGCAGCAGGAATGTGTCACAGAAAGGGACTGTGAGGTCACTTGTGTCTGGAGGTGGCAGGTCAGCCTTGACTTCTCCCTGGGAGCTGCACTTTTGGGCTGACATCTGGCAGTGGCCCTGCTAGGCCAGCAGAAGGCACCTGCTTGGCATGCTGACTAGGGGATCCCCTCTGCCTCCAGAGCCAGGAGGACCCAGGCAGAAAGAAGGCCCCCAGATGGGTTGTCCTGTCCCTTCTGCTTGAGTCCATGACTGCACAGCAGCAGCAGGCACAAGGCTTGGCTGTGTCTAGCCAAGAAGCTGCAAGGCCAGCATTAGGCCCCTGGCTTGGAAGCTGCTGCTGAGGTGACTTGTGTGTGGTTGGCTGAGAGGCCGCAAGGAGCCTGCTGTGTTGGGATGCCTACTTCAGGAGTAGTTTCCACTCTGATGGAGCTTCCTTTGGTAGTAGGAAAGAGCAGGAGATTTAAAAAAAAAAAAAAAACTGCCACAAAATGTTCCATGGAAGGCTGGCACTGGTCACAAGGAGGAAGAAATGTCCCTCAAGATGTCATGCAACGGTTCTATACATCACCTTCTGATAAGACCCTGGCTTTGTGTTTCAAGGAACAGCTGTTCAAGGCTGACCAGATATCGGTGAAAGCAAGGCATGAAAGCAAGATGGTGAACTGAGATGGGTGTCTGCAGACTTTAAGAAAATAGGGTGATGTGTGGGAGAGCATAGGAAAGCCTGCCAAGGAGAAGGCAGAGGGTGCTGGCAAGAATGGCAGGCCCCAACAGCCCTGAATTTTTTGTCCCCTTGGCTAGAGCTTATGAGGAGATGTTATATTCATTGTGACGGGGCCTCATGGATTCCTTTCAACCTTGTGCAGCAGCTCAGAGGTGTCACACCAGTGTTCTTCTCATGGCATCACACTGCCCACCCCATCCCACAGAACCCCAGGAAGAGCCTTGACCCAGACATACGGGTGCAGGATTTCCCCTTCCAGTGGCTCCGGTCAGGCCTTGGCTCTTCTGTTTCACCAAAACCAACTAAGATTTTTCTCAGTGCAGTGCTTTGCCTGTCTGCAATCATGGAGTCCAATTATCTGCCCTAACGAGTCCCTGGGGAGGCTTTGTTAGCAACAGCCCTCAGTGGGGCCCATTAATACTCCAAGTCACTTCAACTTTTCCTTCTGACTTTACTTTCTCTAGCAGTTGCATCATTCACCTCTCAGTACCTGAGCTTCATAGACTGAGCACCACAATACACCATGGAACTCATTAAAATGCAGAAACTCCTAACATCTCTTCCATAGTTTTCTTCAAGGCTTCATGCCTTGTGTAGCTAATTACAGAGCTTGCATGATGTAGTCAAAGAAGATTACAAAAAGCACCTAATAAAAACTCTTTTGTACTTTTAAAGGTTGAATTTTGCTGCATTTCAGTTTTGAGCATCATTGTCCTCTTGCTATTGATCCAGGGTGTCTTCTTTGGAGACCTCCATAAGGAGGAATAGCAGAGTCTGGAGGTCTGACACCTCCACTGCCAGCAGTGGTCTTTGTCCCTGTAACTGCAGTCCAGCCCTGCACATGAAAGCCTTTCTAAGACAAGTCACATGTTGTTTTTATTTATTTATTTTTTTGATAAAATAAAATAAAAAATAAAATAATAAAATAAAATAAAATAAAATAAAATAAAATAAAATAAAATAAAATAAAATAAAATAAAATAAAATAAAATAAAATAAAATAAAATTGTAATGACCATTGGAACCAGAGAAATACAGATTAAGTATCAGTAGGTACCTGGTCATCCATGGTTTCTCTTGGGTCTTTGGAAAACTCAGGGTGAAAATTAAAGACATCTACTTTTTTTTACCCTACTCTATTGTCCAGTCAATAGAGTAGGGCAGTCCTACTTCCTGTGTTGTAGATGCAGAAGGCAAAAAGAATTGCATTGTTCCTTACACTACTCTGGGACGTGTAACCCAGGACAAATCTTACAAGGAGCAGCTGAGGGAGCTGGGATTGTTCAGCCTGGAGAAGAGGAGGATCAGGGGTGACTTTTTTGCTCTCTACAGCTACCTCAAAGGAGGCTGTAGAGACGTGGGGGTTGGCCTGTTCTCCCACGTGCCCAGTGACTGGACGAGGGGGAATGGGCTAAAGTCATGCCAGGGGAGGTTTAGGTTGGATATTAGGAAAAACTTTACTGAAAGGGTTGTTAGGCATTGGAATGGGCTGTCCAAGGAAGTGGTTGAGTCACCATCCCTGGAGGTCTGTAAAAGACATTTAGATGTTGAACTTAGTGATATGGTTCAGTGGAGGACTGCTTAGTGTTAGGTCAGAGGTTGGACTAGGTGATCTTGAAGGTCTCTTCCAACCTAGATGATTCTGTGATTCTGTGATCGTCTAGTCAAACCTTCTTCCATAGACAGGGACAATTTCCATTAGATTAGGTTGCCCAAATTCACCTGCCAACTGGCCTTGAACAAGGGCTCACCTTTCTTGGGTGAGAGATTAAACAAAGTTTTGTTGGGAGGATTTGGTGTTCTGCATAGGGTGTCAGGTCTGTGGCTGGGGTAAGGACAAAATTCATGGTTTCTGTTTTTTTTAGTTCTGCCAAGAAATCGTCTAGGGTTAAAAAAAGTGTTTTAATGACAGTGTTAAGGAAGAGATTAGGGTGAGCAAGAGACTAAAGGTAAGGGAAAGGGGCTATGGGCTGAGTTCTGCTTGAAGGGATACTCTGAGGTCAGGTATTACTGCAGGGGATTTCTGTCAAGGTGTTGGAGCAACATTCTGGTTTTGGGATTAGGGTTACTGGTCAAAATAGGTAAGGGTTTTACATGACTGTTTTAAGCCAGTTTTAAAGCACCATCAACATTACATGAAACCTCTTACCTCTACAAAATCATTAATTTCTGCTTCCCAAGCTCCTCTTCCCTTCCCCAAATCTCACTTCTCTTGGCCAGGCTTCTCCTGTCATCCTCATATTGGTGTTCTTATTGGGATCAGCTTTCTGATGGCTTTCATGATCTGAGAGTATCTGTCTCACTCTGCTGGCTACACTGTTCCTGAGACAGAAGTGGTGTTGTAGTCAGTAGGGAAAAGGGCACAAAGTTCTGTAGGAGCATCCTGCACGTGCCCATCAGCTCTGCGCCTCCACAAAAGTGTACATCCTATATACAAGCGTTGGTTCCAGAATGACTCCCATGGATCCAGGGTAACATTTTGCAGGCCTTCATGCAGGATGTACCTCCCTTCAAGAATCTGAAAGGCAGTAGCTTCCCCTATGGAGAAAACTAAAAACAGCTATGAGGTATGAGTTTAGTCAAAAGCTGAGATCTCTTACATGGCAACCAGAGGTGCTGCTCTGCAGAGCTAGGGGGCTGTGGTGCCTGGGGCATGGGGGCACTCTGCCGGGCTGTGCTGGGCAGGCTGGGAGGCAGACCCAGCTCATGGGGTCACTGCTATTGCCCCAGGGCTGCAAGGAATCACTGGCCAGGCTCCTTTGCTGGGGCTGCTGCGTGCCCTGGGGCTGCAGAGTTCTCTTATGCCTGCTCACACCAGATTGAGCACTTGAGCTCTGCTCAGTCCACCTCAGACAGGCTCACGCTCTGTGGGCTCCATTCACTGCTGTCTCCTGGGCTCACGCTGGCCTGACAGAGGAGGCCAGTGAGTGATTTTTTGCAGGCCTGGGTCAATGGCAGTGATATTTCCTTGTTTCTCACGGCCTTCTCACAGGTCTTTCTCATAGCACTTCCCACTGCCCAGCACTGCCCCCCAGGTGGGACTAAGATAACGTTCAGAAGGGCCTTGGGCTTCCTCAGTCGTCCTGCTTATTAGGACCTTCCTGACTCCCCACAGAGCTCAGAGGGAGCCTTCTTGTCCAGTGTGTGGCCCTGCACTGGCTCTGTCTGGGACGGATTTAGTCTCTGCAGAGCAGCCCCTGTGGTGCTGTGTTTTCAGTATGTGACTGTACTGGGTCTGGCTGGGATGGAGTTACCTTTTCCTGTAGAAGTCCACCCAGTGCTGTGCTCTGCTTGAGTAGCTAGAACAGCACTGGTATCACGGTTGTGTTTTGTCTACTGCTGAGCAGTACTGTCATAGCATCAGGAATCCCTCTAATCCTCCCTCCCCAAAGAGCCAGCAGGCTGTGGGTGCACAAGAGAGAGGGAGGGGACATCACCAGAGCAGCTTACCTAAACCAGCCACAGAGATATTCCATACCATATGATGTCACACTCAGCAATAAAAGGTGGAAAATGGAAGGAGAGGGGAGAGGTGAGCTCCTGTTATGAAAACGTCTGTCCTCCTGAAAATCAGCTGTATCTATTGAGGCCCTGTTTCAAGGAAGTGGTCAAGCATCACTGTCACAAATAGTTTTGGTATTTTTTTTTTTAATAATGTCTTTGCTAGTTCACAGGAGATGGGAATGCACTGCAGCTGAGACCTATGAATTTCTGCTCACTTCTTTGTCTATAGCTACACAGAAAGCCTGGCTTTAGATATACATGAGATAATTAGGAAAAGTAAAGAGATAAATGAACAGGTAGGAGGCTAACAATGACATTAATTAAATCGACTCCACAACTTGGAGAACATATTTATCAAGAAAAATAAAACCAAATTACTTTCCTAACTGTTTCTGAGATAAACTCAGAATGTAAAGGCACATTATTACTTTTTTTTTTTTTAAGAAATATGTATTCAAACAATTTCCTCAGTGCATCCTTGAGTTCCTGGTTCCTCATACTGTAGATGAGGGGGTTCACTGCTGGAGGTAACATGGAGTACAGAAAAGATACTGCAAGGTCCAGGGATGGGGAGGAGAATGAGGGGGGCTTCAGGTAAGCAAACATGCCAGTGCTGATAAAGAGGGAGACCACAGCCAGGTGAGGGAGGCACGTGGAAAAGGCTTTGTGCCGGCCCTGCTCAGAGGGCATCCTCAGCACTGCCCTGAAGATCTGAGTATAGGAAAAAACAATAAAAACAAAGCAACCAACACCTAAACAAAAGCTAAATGCAATAAATCCATCTTCCCTGAGGTAGGCATCTGAGCAGGAGAGCTTGAGGATCTGGGGGATTTCACAGAAGAACTGGTCCACAGCATTGCCTTGGCAGAGGGGTAGGGAAAATGTAGTGGCCGTGTGTAGGACAGCATTGAGAAAGCCACTGCCCCAGGCAGCTGCTGCCATCTGGGCACAAGCTCTGCTACCCAGGAGGCTCCCGTAGTGCAGGGGCTTGCAGATGGCAACGTAGCGGTCATAGGCCATGATAGTTAGAACTGAATACTCTGAACCAAAGAAGAAGACAAAAAAAAGAACTTGAGCAGCACATCCTTGATAGGAGATGGCTCTGGTGTCCCAGAGGGCATTGGCCATGGCTTTGGGCAGAGTGGTGGAGATGCAGCCCAGGTCGAGGAGGGCGAGGTTGAGCAGGAAGAAGTACATGGGGGTATGGAGGCGGTGGTGGCAGGCTACGGCGCTGAGGATGAGGCCGTTGCCCAGGAGGGCAGCCAGGTAGATGCCCAGGAAGAGTGCGAAGTGCAGGAGCTGCAGCTCGCGTGTGTCTGTGAATGCCAGGAGCAGGAACTCAGTGACTGAGCTTCTGTTGGACATCTGTTATTTCTGTGATGTGGTCCTGCACAAAGAGAAAAACAGTAATACATGTAATACATAACAGACTTACCAGAGGATAATTCAATTTTCTCATTTAAAGGCATCAAAAAGACTTTCCACTTGCAGGCAGTTATTTTGAAGTTCCCTTTAATGACTTCCAGATGATTCCGAGTTTCTCTGGGAGAAGAGTGCTCTTCTGTGGGCAGTGGAAGAATCAGTCCTGCACTACAGCTCTAGGTAACAACATGGTAGGAATATGGGGTAATCTTAGATTCACTTCACTCCTGATATCGAAGGGATTAACCCAGTTTTACTCCTAGTTCATCACAGAGCAGACGAGATCTCTTCATCACGGAGATTTATTTATTTATTTATTTGTTTCATGTTTGTTTTTATTTGTACTCTATGTTCTGCTGCCCCACCACACCTGAGGAGTGTTTTTAAGGCATAAATCCTGGGCATTCTGCTGCACTCGAAGTGAAAACTTGTACGTTCTCCTGCACTGAGGTCTCCTTTGCGCACACCCTCCATGCTGCCTGGAATCCCTTTCTACTTGGGTGCCACCTGCGGTCAGAGCCCCCAGCCCTGCTGCGCTGTGCAGAGGAGCTGCTCCTGGACACAGCTGGCTCTCTGCACCACGGCCCTCTTGCCACAAGCTCTCTCTGTCCCACGAGCCCGGCCCAGCTCAGCACCACAGCACCAGCCCAAGGCACTGCAATCACCCCTCTGGGGGCTTGGCTGAAGAGCCCACGAACCTCAGGCACTCAGAGACAATTGAAGACATCTCTCCAGAAGTGCAAGTCAGAGGCAAGTTTCCTGCAGTGTCCCCCTGAGGGCCAGCACTGACACAGCCTCCCTTGGAGCTTGTTAGAGCCTGGAGGCAGTGAGGACAAGGAGACAAAGGCAATGTGAAGGTGACACTGATGTGTAGGAAAACTGGATGTATGTCACCAAGCACAAGGGTCAGGCCATGACTCCCCACTCAAGGAAGGGAGATCCTTTCCCTTCACACCTTGCTTAGGGCTCTTCCTGGGACACTGGAAGATGGGGATGTGCATTACAAAGTGCAGGACAATGGTATGACCCCTGCCTGGTTCATGGGTGGGTGAGGAGTTAATTAGGATCTGTTGCTTTAGTGATTAGCTTTCTCCTCAAAGGCTTTAGTGGCAGAGACAATAGCCATAGCCATGGACACAAATATCTCACAAGGCAGCTCTCTAGGAAGCTGGCCTGGTTCCTGCTGAGCAGGCACCACTGCTCATATGGTGGTGCCGAGGCCCTCCTCCTCCTGGGCACTGCTCACTCAGCAGTGTCCCAGTCTGCCCTGATGTGTGGGGTTTCTCTTCCTCTGGTACAGGACTGGGCTCTTCTCCTTCTAAATGTCAAGAGGTTTCTGTAGGCAAAATCCTGCAGCTTCTCAAGGTTCACCCACAGGGATGCTCCATTCTGTCAGCTGTTAATGTCAGCAGGCAGACAGTTCAACATTTGTGTAATTGTTCTATCTCTGAACAGACAGCAGCAGCAGAAAGCATTCCAGGGAAATTTGGATAATTCAGGAGTAACCAGTTGAATGGAATTGCAGCACAGTCACTCAAGGGCAGGGGATGGAAGGTTCCACATTTACTGTGCTTTCTTCTCATGCATGCTGTCAGTTTGTCTGGAGCTGTGTCCTGAATGATATGGGGCTGTGCAGGTCAAAATTAGAAGGGCCAAAGCCCAGGTGGAGCTCAATCCATCTATTACTGTCAAAGACAATAAAAAAAATATTTATATAAATACCTAAAATAAAGGTGGATTAAGGAGCATCATCATTCTTTATAGGATTTTTGGGGGGAAACGTGGTGACAAGGGATGAGGTAAAGGCTGAGGTACTTAATGCCTTCTTTGCCTCAGTCTGTAGCAGCAAGACCAGTTGTTCCCCTGGACATTTCTTACACCTCATGGCCAGTGCCAACCTTCTAGGGTGGTTTTCATTGATTTTTTTCTCTCCTGCATTTTCCTACTGCCAAAGGAAGTTCCATCACATAGGAAACCACTCCTGAAGTAGGCATCCCAACCCAGCAGGCTCCTTGCGGCCTCTCAGCCAACCAGACACAAGTCACCTCAGCAGCAGCTTCCAAGCCAGGGGCCTGCTGCTGGCCTTGCAGCTTCTTGGCTACACACAGCCAAGCCTTGTGCCTGCTGCTGCTGTGCAGTCATGGACTCAAGCAGAAGGGACAGGACAACCCATCTGGGGGCCTTCTTTCTACCTGGGTCCTCCTGGCTCTGGAGGCAGAGGGGATCCCCCAGTCAGCATGCCAAGCAGGTGCCTTCTGCTGGCCTAGCAGGGCCACTGCCAGATGTCAGCCCAAAAGTGCAGCTCCCAGGGAGAAGTCAAGGGTGACCTGTCACCTCCAGACACAAGTGACCTCACAGTCCCTTTGCGTGACATGATCCTGTTGTTGTCCTACCAAGTGCAGAGACAGAAGTGACCTCACGGTCCCTTACACAGTCACATTCCTTCTGCTGGGGCAGAAGTGTGGAGGTGTTACCATGCTGGGCAGCAGAAAGTTAACATCCCAGCCAGACCCAGTACAGTAACTTTGTATGGACTTTGCTGTCCATACAAAGCCCTTAAAGCCTTCCTCAGTGCTTTTAACCAATATTTTTGGTTAGTCCAGCTGGCATCCTGTTACAAGTGGTGTCCCCCAGGGGTCGGTACTGGGACCTATCTTGTTTCATGTCTTTATTGATGACCTAGATGACGGAATTGAGTGAACCCTCAGTAAGTCTGCAGATGACACGAGGTTGAGAGGTAGTGTTGATATGCCTGATGATCTGTAGGTGACCCTTCAGAGGGATCTGGATAGGCTGGATTGCTGGGTTGAGGTGAACGGGATGAGGTTCAACAAGGCCAAGTGCAGGGTCCTGCACTTTGGCCACAATAACTCCGTGCAATGCTATAGATTGGCTAGAAGACTGTGAAGAGGAAAAGGACCTGGGAGTGTTGATGGATGCTTGGCTGAACATGAGCCAGCCGTGTGCCCAGGTGGCCAAGAAGGCCAAGGGCATCCTGGCCTGTATTAGAAATAGTGCAGCCAGCAGGAGCAGGGAGGTGATCGTCCTCCTGGACTCGGCTCTGGTGAGGCCACACCTCGAGCACTGTGTTCAGTTTTGGGCCTCTCATTACAAGAAGGACATTGAGGTCCTGGAACATGACCAGAGAAGGATAACCAAATTGTTGAGGAGGCTGGAGCACAGGTCTTATGAGGAACGGTTGAGGGAACTGAGATTATTTACTTTGGCAAAGAGGAGGCTCAGGGGAGACCTCATGGCACTCTACAACTTCCTGAAGAGAGGTTGTGATGAGGCGAGGGTTGGCCTCTTCCCTCAGATAACTAATGATAGGACTTGAGTAAATGGCCACAAGTTGTGCCTGGGAATGTTTAGATTAGGTATCACGGAAAAACTTTTTCTCTGAAAGAGTAGTCGGGAACTGGAATGCTCTGCTCGGTGATGTGGTGGACTCACCAACTTTCAGTGTTCAAGAAGCATCAAGACAAGGTGCTAGCAGATATGGTTCAGTAGCTTAGTAGATAGAATTAGTGATAGGAAGGTTGGACTAAATGGTCTTGTTGGTCCTATCCAAATTTGTGTTTTTATGATTTCTATGACTCTATCATAGGACAAGGGGAATGGTTTTAAACTTCAAGAGGGTAGATTTAGATTCAATAGTCAGATGAAATTCTTGACATAAAGGTGAGGCACTGGAACTGGTGCTGTGGGTCCAGAGATCACCCAGGGGGAGTTTGGATCAGCCCATGCCCTTGTGTTTGAAGGAACAGCTGGTGAGAGTGGAGAGGCAGCAGTGAAATCATGGGAACAGCAGAGTGAGAGCAAGGTGGGGAAAAGAAGTGGCTGTCTGCAGCCTTCAGAGAAGTGTGGGACAGCACAGGAAAGCATGCAGAGGTGAAGGCAGAGGGCTCTGACAAGAATGGAAGGCTGCAGCAGCAATGACATCTTTATCCCCCTGGCCATGGCTTATAAGATGTGTTTTACTCATGGCATTGGGACTATGAATTCTCCTTTCAACCCTTCGCAAATGCTGGAAGGTGTCATACCATTGCCCTTCACATATGGTATTGTGGGCATCTCCCCCTACCCCACAAAACCCAGGAAGAGCCCTGAGTGAGACATAGGGGTGCTGGGGTTGTAGAATCTCCCCTCCCAGTGGCTGGGGTCAGGCCTTGGCCCTTCTGCTTCAACAAAATAAACTGAGATTTTCTCAGTACACTGCCTTTGCCAATCTGAAATCATGGCCTCCAATTATCTGCCCTAACAATTCCCATGGGAGGCTTTGTGAGGAACAGAATAGAATAGGCAAGAAAGTATAGAGTATTCTAATACTACGGAATAGAGTAGCTAACGGAGGTGAGACAGGTACTCTGATATAATGACAACCATCAGAAAGCTGATCCCAGTTAGATGACTGCTATGGAGAGGTCAAGAGTAGCCTGGCCAGGAGAGATGTCAGAAAGGGGTACAGGAAGAAGAAGTGAAGAGGAGCTTGGAACCTTACCTTTGTAGAGGTAAGATGGTTCATGCAATGTTGATGCTGCTCTAACACTGACTTCAGACATTCTTGTAGGGCCTGTAAACTATTTTCAAAAATAACAATAATCCTTAAACCTAAACATTAGTGCAACTTCCTGACAGGAATCCACTATTGTAAGCAGAACTCAAAATACCACCTGAAGAAAAACTCAGACCATAGCCCCCTTTCCTTCCCTTTACTCTCTTGCTCACCCTAATCCCTGCCCTTATCACTAACATTAAAATGCTCTATTTATCCCTAGACTTCTTGCCAGACATAAACAAAACCCTTAACCATAATGCTTGCCCATACCATAACCAGAAACGTGACAGCACTAACAGAACACCATATCTTTCAACAAAAACTTTGCTTAATCTCTAACCCAGAAAGGTAAAATCTAGTCCCTACGAGACAAGAGAGAGGTCAG